TGGCTGGCTCTGGCAAAGCCAGCCGTTTGTAGGAAAAATTATAAATTTTATAAAGTTTTTTCGTGTTTTTAGATTCTGCATGAATTCTTCTTTAATACGGTGTTTACAGGAAAATTGGTTGAGTATTAGCAAAGTTATGAATATTTAATTATTGGATATCAGCCATGTAGGTTTTGAGAAAACAACTTCCAAATATTCCAAAATCAATTGTATATTATTAAGATTTGTATTTTAAAAATAATGTTAATTTACTTTTCAGTGAAATTAAGTGTTTTACAGAAATGTTCTTTGATATCCCTTCTTTTATAAAATGCAAAAATCTGAAAATGGTCAAAATGCTGATTCTCAGACGTTTTGGGTGCTTGTGGGAAATTATAAATTGCGACAAGCGGTGGGTTTTGCCTGAGCCCGGTCACATATATTGTATCGTATAACAACAAGCAATGGTGGTCTACAAAGCAAGCATCATAATGAGTAGTAGTAGTAGTACTAGTGGAGTAGTTTTGAGTCATGAGAAAAGGAAATGGTGTCACAAGGGAACTGAACCGAGGACCATGGGATTGGAAAAAGCATCTTTACCATTCTACAGATTTTCTTACATAATTAAACCTATACCTTTATAAATACCCTGTCTGTAACACTGAATGTCAATTTAATAAAAATAAATAATTATTTGAAATTATAATAATTTACAAGTTTTAATACCAATATACAAATATAAACAATCTTAGTTATACAGTAAAGTGTTGGCTGGAAAAAGCTCTACTTTACTTCATTATCAACAGAATGATTGGTCAGTTGTCAGTTCCAATTAGCAAATAGGCATTCAGCTTTATTAACTATAATAACATTCCATAGCAACCAATGTCATGGCAACAACAGATGAAAGATGTAAATGCCTTTACAAGACTGAGGTTTGTGCCTGAAGTACTTCACAATCATCATCATTATTCAATTAACCTTCGTTATTAAAATAACGACAAGAATGAGGAGCAATTTGAAATGATATTTGAGGTGATGCCATCAGTACTGGAGTTCCATATATTTTGTTTATATAATAAATCTTTTTTTCTTTAACAAAAAATATTTACAGAAGTTATAAAGCACTGCAGAAATCACTTACATTATCTCATTTTAACAAATCATTCTATTTTATAAACTGCCATTTCATGACTATTAAATCTGATATTTTTTAAACATTTGTGTAGCATGCATAAAGGCAGTATGCAAGATAATAATCTGCCAAAATATTGATATTATTTTTAATGAATAACAATTCATATAAACTAATATTAACTGTTTAATGCAAATGAGCGTATAGTATGATATACTTTTACACTTTTTGTACCTATATGAGTTAAGACTTTTCAGAATAATGAGTATTACATGAAAGAAATATCTCTACATATGTAGTCTTATACAAATTTATTAAATTAAATTTTTGGTTGCATATTTCTATGTGTGTAAATTCTTGGTGTAACCAATGTATGCTGTGTAATGGAATAGCTAACAAATTTATGTGATGGATCTCGATTTGAGATGGCTGGAACCCTTGATTACTACATATTTTGAAATCCTTGAAGGGAATTTATAATGAACAGTCTTATCATTTTTTTCTTGTATACAGTATTTATATATAGAATATATGTACAGTTGGATTATTAAAAAAATAAAGTAATTAAAGTTCATCCATGTTTTTTTTTAAGTAGCTATTGTTACACCAGTCTTCAACCAATTTCTAATCTGATTGGATGTTATTGTATGTATGAATTGGATTAGCGAAGCAACATTCAATAAGAATTAGTAATTGACTGGTGTAGCAATAGCCACTTCCTTTTTATGGATGTTGTTTTCAACCAATCATAAGGTAGCAAAATCGTATTGTAAGCATTTCTTTGTCAACATTATAATCAAATGATGATGTAGGCTAGAGTGATAATTTAACAAGGTTTTCTATCTGCCGTGAAGCCAACTTACACTACAACCCTTTCCACATTAGCATATAATTTGTACGCTAAAGAAAAAATGATAAAAATTAGAAAAATATATATTGAAATCAAATATTTTCAAAATAATAATTATGAACTTCTTAATAATAATCATAATTCAAATGATCGGCCTGATACAGACGCCACAAGTAGGTTAACGAGAGAACGCCAAGCTGTAATAACCGACAAAAGCCCACCTCATGGAATACATCTTTGGTGAACACGTCAATATATCGGCGACTGTAGCCAATAAAACCTGTCGACCTTTTCACGTTGTAGACAACAAGCTGCGTGTAGACGAAAATAAAAGCGAGCTTAAGTGCCGTTGGTGCATTCCACTTGAAAAAACGTGAAGAATCTTCATTAAGGTAAACATCCTGAAATGAAAGACATGGACAATTTTTAAATTTTACAATTATATTACATACTGCGAATAAAAATTATGATAATAAATTACTTGTTATTATGACAGCATATAGTGCTTAAAGCCTCTATGTCCTTCACATTTAAAAAATTAATCTGATTTACTAAAGATAACATAATTTGAAAAGGTGAGTTTTTAGAAAGTGTGTAACTGTGTTGATTGATTGAGCCTGTATGATATGTCAATTATTACATACATAATTCAAATTACATTATACAACTTCAAACCTGCCAGTCACAGGATAAAGATCATTTTAAAGCTTGTTTTAGGATGAATCTGTAATATGAGCCAATGAAAAATATACGATCAGGTTATTATGCTAATTATTACCTACAATTTTTGATTAAATGTCTTTCAATAACAGCAACAAAATTTCACACCTCTTGGAAAAAAATATCACATTTTTTTAAATAATTTTAATGTTTACTGTAATGATCATCCCTTTTTATTGATTGTTGCTAATTTTCTCATTTTTTTAGATTCTATTCTTTATATTATATTAGTTTTATTGTACAATTGACGCAATTAAGCGTAATCCTGCTATGTCAAATTTTGATGATGTTGTTCGAGTAAAACCAGAAACAATATTGCTCAACATGTATAAATATGTTTGATTGTTGTTCTTAACTATAAAGCATCTTTCTTAAAGAAATTATAATTTAAAATTGTGATTTATGAGCCAATTTATAATGGAGAAATATAGTAGGTTAAGAAAAGAAGAGATTAACAAGATAATACATGTATCCAACTCAAACTAATATTGATGAACAGCGAGATCTCCCGAGACGCGCAAGTGTCCTTGAAATTGGGAACGCCACTCCCGCAACTGGAGAACAATCTCCCGGAAAATAACAAATCTCCTGCAATTTCATGGAATCTGCATGTTTTTACTACTGTATTACTCCTTTAACATCATTTGTCTCACTGAAGTCCTGTGTCGATTGGTATAGCCATAAGTAACAAATACAAAATTGGATGTGCTAAAGAAAGCTCATTTAAACAAATCTTCCGGAAATGACTTCTTCCAAATTGGGAACCCTGCAGTGAATACTAATTATTTTTAGATAAGATAGGTACAGGGGTCCCAAGTTGGAAGAAGTCAATTTCGGGAGCGGAAGGAAACCCCATCGGGGAGAGCTTCCCCACTCATCCCATCAGGGAGAAAAGCCACAATTTTTTTTTTGTAATTCAATTGCTTTAGGTGTCTTTTTTATACTTGATTGGCTAGTTTTTGGTGTTTTTTTTCTCGCTTTTTATTGCGCAAATTTCTTTGTGAAATTTTACTCAATTTAGTCACTGGCTAGAATGTAAATTGTTGTTGTTGAAGAAAATCCTTTAAATGAAAATTAGTCAGGGAGAAATAAATTATAGGTACTGTAATTGCTACATAATTTGATAAATAGTCAATCTTTTAGGGGATTCACCCCCCACCCCGGATCATTTCCGATGTATTTTGAACAACTCCGGACTAGGCCCACTTTGCTCCCATTGGGACATGCAGTTACAAACTCCAAGAGTTCGCAATAGGGGAAGCAGGGAGGGGATCATGTAGGGTCTACACCAGCTCATCCCCACCATGATTGGGGCCGAGGTAGAACATTATGACAGATGACCGGAAATGGCGTTCTCAGGATTAAATTTGAATATGATTGTCTCTTTCTCTCCATTTTTTTTTTACTTAGAAAAAAATAGGGATGTGCGCTTCCCTCTTGAATCTGTCACTGATCTGGTTAATGAGCTTCATAACATTTTATTTTATTTTGCTGCACATTGTGATACATTGACAATGACTTAAAGCAGTGAAAACAGGCAAATATTATGAATTTGAAGGATATGGGTTAATTTCCGGGAGATTCTTGCTTGCTTGCTTAAGTGCAGGAGGCCTTCCCAATTTTCGGGAGCCTCCTGTGAGTTCCAGGGGACTTGGAACTCCTGTAACAGCACTTTTTTATGCCTCCTGTGTGAATTACTTATAACATTTTATTAGTTCTTCAAAAATATAAGCTGAATCAAAGAAGATAAGGGATTGTGATCATGATTGATAAATTGCAATAGCAAATTTTCTAAAGCTTATTACCTTTAACCTAGATGCTGTTATTTCACCCATTATTGATTGGTGAAAGCTCAAACTATATAATCACTTTCCACTAAACCACTGACAATCATCAATCCATATTTTCCGTAATAACAGTTGGTATTAAAGTTACGATAATGAATAGATGCACGCCATCAGACTGCGGTAAACAGTACGTGTAAACTAAAACACATCAATATCTCGTAAGTACTTTCGTCATCCCTTGACAAGCACATGTGTTGTTTAATGACTATATATGTGGTGTTCTGATTAACATGACTACAAGACTGACATACATTAACTTGTTATTAACATCTCATATTTATCATCAAATTTTGATATTAAATTGTTGGCATTCTGGGAAGATTAGTAGCTTTGGGAAAAACATAGTAAATATATATATTAATGGAATATATTATTATGGTATTATATGATGTGTTTTTATAGTGCAAGTTATGTTTGGGAATGTCAATGTATTTTTTTACAATTGAGTATTAAGGAATTTATGTCAACTGAATGTAATTGGTTGTGTATAATAAAAAATATATCTTATCTAAACTGAATTTTAAAATATTCTATTTTATATAAAATTCAATGTTAAGAGCATACAATTTTGCTCTCATTAATAACCAGTATATAAATGTACACCTATGGTAAACATAATAATAATAATAATAATAACAATAATAATAATAATAATAATAATAATAATAATCTTATGAATGAAACTTATAAATGATGATGATGATGATACTACTGATGATGATGATGATGCTACTGATGATGATGCTACTGATGATGATGCTACTGATGATGATGATGATGATGCTACTGATGATGATGATGATGATGCTGGTGATCATAATATGTGGCAAGGACAAGCCAAACCAGTCACTCGTCGCAGAAATCGATTTTGAGTTATTAATACAGTGTTAGAGAGTAAAATAATAGCTATAAAATGGTAAAAATATCATTCAAATCGGACATTTCTTTATGAAGTTACAAGCGTTTAACCACACAGCTGTTTAAAGAACAATATATGAGAAATTAACCGTCAAAGTTTATGATTCAGGCATTTCTCATGCAGAAACTATCTTTAAATCCTTAAAAAATATTGTTTTAACATTGAAAATGTCGAAAATAACAGCATAGAATGATGTGTAGACATATAAAGGTTAGTTTAGTGCAATAAAATAGATTTTTTTTTAATTTGACATTCCAGCATGTTTTGGCCATTTTCTCTGAAACACGATTTGCGACGAGTGACTGGTTTGGCTTGTCTTTGCCACATATGTTGATAATGAGGATGCTGATGATGATCATAATGCTGATAATTATTCTGATGATGATGCTGGTGATGATAATGAAGATAATATGTTTATGAGGATGCTGATAATGATCATAATCTTGTACATATCAAATATGAATAGAATCAATGTTGCTACATAGCACTGTGGTAATACAGTATGTAATAAAAACAATGGTAGAAAACGGGGCTCACATACTGGATAAAAATCGTATCGAGCATAGCCTATCAATGAAAAATCATATACATATCAAAAATCCCAACCAACATACAGAAGAAGAAAAAAACCCATCTAAAATCAGTGACAATTTTTATAGCTCAAGTCAAATTACATAATATATTTTGGTTTAACTGCTAGGCCTACGAATCTTTGAGATATCAGATTTTACATTATGCATTCATTAATACTGGTTAATTATTGCAGTATTAATAGAAAAGTCATCAAGGAAGCAGATGAAATATTTCGATTATTAATTATCTAGCACAGAAGGAAGCATGCATGTTGTTAAGACCACCTGTGCTATCACTTTTTATGTCCTTGAGTACAATCCATATTCTTTAAGTAGGCCTGACAATGAATAATGTGAAAGAATCAGAGTTTCGGACAATGAATATTGTGAAAGAATCAGGGTGTTGCTTGCAATTTGGTAATTATGAAAAAATATTAAGACAGGAAGGACACAGACAGAAGGATCAAGTGGTGCTCTTGATAAAACAGCTTGGAAGACCGCAGACATCAAGCAGCGATTAGGCAATGTTTAATTAAGTAGAGTCCCACATGTGGATATGCACATTTAGCGGAGTGCATTATCCAGTGCTCTATATACTAAGCCTAAAAAATGTTTGTGATGTAATGTATCCTCTTATTTATGGCTTCACACAGTCATTGACCCTTAAATGCACTACATAGGCATCTCAATGACATTAACATGTGCCTGGCATTTAAAGTTTTATGGTGATGGCAAATATGAGATGGTAATCTACATGGTTAAGTATTAGCTGTAAAGGTCAGAGGTCATACATGCTGGCCAACGATTGCTATGTATATGCATAGAGATATAGTGAACTATAATACTACAGTATTAGTTTACTATAATACCTCTATGGTACATGGGTACATAATTGGTGATTGTTCAGAATTTTAATTCGGGCACATACTACGCCGACTGTCACTAATAAGCGCACACAATTGGTGATTGCATAAATTGTTCAGAATTTTAAGTCGGGCACATACTACGCCGACTGTCGCTACCAAGCGCACACAATTGGTGATTGTCTACATTGTTCAGAATTTTAAGTCGGCACATACTACGTTGACAGTCGCTACCAAGCGCACACAATTGGTGATTGCGTAAATTGTTCAGAATTTTAAGTCGGGCACATACTACGCCGACTGTCGCTACCAAGCGCACACAATTGGTGATTGTGTACATTGTTCAGAATTTTAAGTGGATTGTTTTTAATGACGATCCTCTCAGACTGCTCCCAACAGTTAGTAGACGGTGTTGCCTTGTCCAGCGCTCACAGAGTAGAGTTAGATTTGTTGGCCAATAGTCGTATGATGCAGTCCACGCCCGGTTTTAGCTAGCCTCTTAAAACACTTAGTTTATAAAAAAAATATGGAGATTCTTGGTTCTAATTTATCAAGTTGCACTCTCTCTGAATATAGCTCTGAATAGTGCATTGAGGAGACATATGAGCCGTTGGTTCTGTGTAAATTGCCAACGTACACATAAAAAAAAACACACCCCAGACAATTTGAGGCTTGCCATCTCAAAAACAGCTTACTGTCACAAATTGACACGCCGACAAGGACACGAAGCCCCGCCCACAAAGTCACGAAAACCTTAGACAATGGCGGCCAGACTTACCGAGTTGGTGAACATTTGCTTTGCTATCAACCTTCTTTAAGAAAGAGAATTCAGGGTAGGCGGTATGCAAATGAATCATATATTCATAGTGTTAATCTATTTCATGGAACGGGCGGGGAAATTGTTGTAAAAGCCTCTGTATTTCGCTCCCAAAGGAAGAGGGAAAAGCAGCATTCAGTCAACCCCGTTGTCGGTAAAGTCCAAATCACTGACGCACACTGCTCGTGTAAATCCGGGTATTTAATAACCAAGCATAGACAAGTAGGCCTAGGCTCACGTATGTTTCGTGTTGACAACCAGCTGTCTAAGGAAATTAAAATGTCCGAGAAAAAGTTTTTGATCACATGACTAAATGACACTCGCTGATTAGTCGGTTTATCTGTCAATCAAATCTCTTCGAGATGTTAATTGTTAAATTGAGTAATTAGCGTATAGAATGTGGTAGTACTGTATGCTTTACTACAGTACAGTAGTAATACTTTTACTTTTAACTTTAGCAGTAGTAAGTCAATTGCAGTAAATGACCTATCATTTCAAAAATTTAAAATTTGGATATGGAGAATATGAAGATTAAAAAGTAAATTTTCATGATTTTATTGCTGATGCTGGTTTTGACATGGCAAGCCCCATTTGGTAGAGTAAAGAATTGTCTTGGTTGTACTAAACTGCTCAATTTAAAACTGTACTTTAAAAAAAAACCCCTGGATTGGGGAAGGTTGGGGGCTGTTTCTGAACCTCTGGAGCAGTTTTTTAACAACTAATAATCAGTTAGAAGTATGAAAGTTTTCTTGATCATAAATACATTTCTGGGATCGTCCATGAAGCCTTCAAAGTGATACACAATGTTAAGAAACTGATTTATGTTACAGACAAATAAAAAAAGACCTTTGATAAAAAATTTTGATATAACTATAATCAATGATTGTACAATAGGTCCATAAGCTTCTGTCAGCCACAGATTTGATTTGTTGGGAATATGTTAAAAAACATCAAAAATTTCTCCGCTAGTCCTAAGAATTGTCAAGACTCTCCCCAACCCCCAAATGATGGACAACGTTAAGCCCCAAGAATCTTCAATCCACCACTGGTATAAGCCCCCTACCCCCAATTGAACACAGAATTGGGCTAATTTTGGGGTGGACTTTTATACCTGTGATGGGCTTAAACCCAAGGAACTACGGTATATCCTGCTGCATTAATGGTAAACTTGAAGACCTACCTGAGCATTTCTTTTTGACATATACCACACCGTGCTTAGGACACTGCTTACTCGCAGAACAATCAACAATAAAAATGAAGCACTGAACATATTTCGTAAAAACTGTACTGCTTGTGTAGCCTTATCTATTCAAAAAAACATAAACATTAATAAGTTGACAAACCTATGCAAGCCTTTTTTTATACATTGTTTAGCGAAACTTATTTTGAAGATCTTCAATGGAAGGTGAAAAATAAAACGAAATGTTTTACCAAAACCTAAACCGAGAAAGAAAATTTATTGACATTGACAAATAAATAATTTGAGTGGAATGCAAAAAAAATGTAACAGGTGGCGCCATTATGGCGTCACTAAAAATCCTTTAAGCCATGTATACATAAACAGACATGTGGTCTATATTTTATTTATTTATTATTATTATTAGTATGTAGAGTATTTATAAATATTTTTTTTCAAATATTAACCTCTAAATTATATATCTCATGGGCTATTACTGTGAATATTTTCATTTTATTTTATCAAATTTTCAGCTTTGTATTTGCTTTCTATTAAAGCATATTACAACTTGATACTAGAGGATAAAAAATGATTTGAGATATTTAAATATATAGGATTGACATTACTTACTAATTTGTTGCGTTAAAATTGTGTAGAGCACTTGTATGAAGGAAGCTTCTTCTGTGGCCGTCCTGAAAAAAATTGAAAACTTGAATTTACGAATGTTTATCGGCTCATTCCTAAATGCCTTACGAATTTCAGCATTGAAATATTCACAATCAATAGCATACTCAACTATTAACATATTTACTCCTATCAAAGATACTAGAAACACAAGTAAGAATTCTTTGAACAAAGAGGTCATAGGTCAAATCTCATACTTTCTATTTCCCCTGGCGTTAGTGTACTGTAGCTATGTTGCTGTATGTGTGTGGGTCTCTCTCTCTCTCTTGTCTCGCTCTGCTGAGGCGTACACAGTAGAGGATGAGAATGTTCTATATTGTTTGGGATGATGAATATTCATTGCATGTCTTAGAATATAGAGTATTCCCCCCCCCCCTAGGAGGGGGGGGAGGTTGCACGCTGTGGATGTATGTTTTTCTATGTTCCTAATGACGTGCCCCGAGGAGTGGGGGGTAAATTACACACTGTGGATGTATGTTTTTCTATGTTCCTAATGACCAGATTAATAATGTGAATTGCTTTCAGACTTTCTGCACTGAGTACTAGATAAATGTCAAATGGCAAACATGATCATCAGCAACAACATCTAAATTAGACAAGAAGAAAATTACAGCAACTAAGTCACTCAAGGCTGTGGGTATTATATTAAATTACTTTCATTAATTTCTATTGACTTCTCATGCCTTGTGTAGTATGACTACAATTGATATACTGTACAGTCTATTGTAATCTGGCATTATACAGATTTACAATATTTGCATCCTTAGAATATCACTAAATTCTACCAGCAAAAGTAATCTTTTTGACAGTAATTTGGTTCACTTCTTTGAAATTCTGTCTATGCCCGTTATTAAAATTTATTTATTTATCAATCATTCATTCAAGATTCAAGATAGCTTTTATTGTCCACTAAAAATAACATAAATTCATTTGAAACCAAACAGAAGTTAAAAGAGTGCACTCAACCCAAAATTCTTTAAAATCGCCAGGCATATGTAAAAGCTTATATATAGAATATATATATATATATACAAAACCACATGAAAAACACTAAAATTCATGTCCTTACTGTAATCATTTCAATCGTTCAATTACTAATCAGTCCACCTATCATTTCATTCATCATTTGTACGTACAGTATATATGTACGTATGTACATACATCCAATCATTCATTTATCTATTCATCAATACATCCATATATTCATTCATTTATTTGTTCAAGAACATTAGTATTCCTTTATGATTTATTCCAGTTTTTATTTTTTGTTGTATGCCCCGGTAGACATTTTTAATGGTATCTTGCTCTCTTTGTTGCCTCTGGACTTTATTAGGGATTACTAATACAGATAAATAACTTATTTATTGATTTTTAATCTGTACTATACTGTATTTTACCATTGAGGCAAAAAAAATTTTGATTCGATGGTTAAGCCATTTACGATTACAATTACTATCGGAGTATGAATGCAATGTGGCGGCAACTGTGTTTCAATTAAGCACTACATTGACTTTTTCGGTAGGGATAAACAAGGGCTCAATCACTGAATTAAACTTGGTTAGTACCTGCGTTGTTTTGGGTTGCGAACACAGTGTTTTTTTCTTACCTGTACCATTGATTTGGTTCTGTTACCGGGTACTTTACTAAGTACATCTCCTGACGCATAACCCACATAGCAAGGCACATAGCTAATGTAATGACTGCTGCATCAGTTATCACACCTAGCAAATATAAGTGGGGATAAAAACATTTGTTGGTAGAATTACTGATAGTTTTATTATATGTGGCAAAGACAAGCCAAACCAGTCACTTATCGCAAATCGTGTTTCAGAGAAAATGGCCAAAACATGCTGGAATGTCAAATTTAAAAATCCATTTTATTGCACTAAACTAACCTTTATATATCTACACATCATTCTATGCTGTTATTTTCCTCATTTTCAATATTAAAACAACACTTTTTAAAGATTTAAAGATAGTTTCTACATGAAAAATGCCTGAAATCATAAACTTTGAAGGCTGATTTCTCATATATTGTTCTTTAAACAGCTGTGTGGTTAAACGCTTATAACTTCATAAGGAAATGTCCGATTTGAATGATATTTTTACCATTTTATAGCTATTATTTTACTCTCTAACACTGTATTAATAACTCAAAATCGATTTTTGCGATGAGTGACTGGTTTGGCTTGTCCTTGCCACATGTCACATTTATTCACAATTTACATATTACATTTACATCATAAAGGCATCAAAAGAAGCAGTTGCTTGTCAGTTTGAATACCAAACATACAAAAAACACAGGATACATGGAAAGAGCAAAACATTTTAATTTAATTTGGGATCGACCACAATTGATGGCACCTCCCGGCAATAATACTGTGCACAATCAGACATCCCTGACAGTGTACTTCCCCGGAAGGTGCCAACAATCATGGACGACTCTCATGATAAAATGTTAAAAAAAGATAAATACGACAAATGATTCAAAATAGTAATGGACAGAATAGCTTTATTGTTTTTGAGATAAATTTGTTCCATGCCTATTTTTATAATTATATATTTTTTACATAAATCAACCTACTATATTGTTCATGAATGTCTTTAATGTAAATAAAATCTCATCATGAATATGTATACACAAACTTACTAAACAAAAAATGGCAAGCCCCAAGTATGCATTTATTCATTGGTTTCAATTCATGAACCTTCTTCACTATTTGGAAACCTAATTAAATTATTTGAAGAATATTCATTATTTCAGCATCTGACTCAAAATATTTGTTTATTTCATAAATATTTTTTTATTTCATAAATGATATAAATAATCCCAAAACCAGCGCACTGTGGCTAAATGTTAGACTGAGTAATTAGCATAAGAATGAGGCAGTTTTTAATACAGAGAAGCCCTAATACTTTTACTAGTAACTTTGGCAATTCTAAGTTGATTTCAGTAAATGACCTATCATTTTAAAGCTTATAATGTCAAGAATATGAATATATTAAAAAAAGTCAATATTCTATTTCTGGTCACTGATGTTTGTTTTGGCATGGCAAGCCCCAAATTTCTAATGTTAATCAAATTAACATGAAACAGCTTACGAATATAAATTTCTTGTACATCATATGTATCTACAAACAACATTATGGTGTTTTAGACATTAGAAATAGTTCAGTAGTTTGAACCCAGAAAAGCAGACACAAGGTGAAGTGAAGTGTACTATATTAACCAGTAATTGGATTAATTGTTATTTGAAGTCTATTGATGAGTGGGAGGCATGTGGTGTTCATATGCTTCGTTAATGCACACTTCATTTAATTTACAGTGTTATGAGGTTGGGCACAGATACAATACCTCTGGTAATTTGTCTCTGTGCTAAAATCATGAAATATAGGAAAAACACATAAACATGAAAATGCTGCGTTTCGCATTTAAAATATCAAGTTATCATCAGTTCCAATCTGATACAGATTGAAACATTTTAGTCTTAAAATGATTTACAGATTTTTACTATATCAATTTGTAAATTGATTTACCAGACAATTTAAAAGCTATACAATGAATAATACAGAAATGGTATTACTTATGTGTTAGTATTGGCAAGAAACATGTTCGTTCTTCTACTTTTCACTTGAGAGCTGTTAATATGTTTCAAGACAAAGCTGACCTCTGACTTCAAGGTGGCAGTACTATACATATGTGATGTTTAGAGCAATTACTCAATATTATGTTTTTTAAATGTGAATGCTCCTGTACATTTACCAAGAAAACATTAATATTAATAATCAGTGTCTACTGCCTACATTCATAATATACACTTAGTCGGAGAACAATAAAACTCGGAATAATATGCAAGGTAAAACAACATTTTGATATCGCTCTACTAATGGAATGAACTCCCAAATGATATATAAACCAGCTTCGAATTTATGACATTCCCAGCATTTAATATGCCATTTCAAATCTACCATAATTTCTGAGTTCCATATTTAGTTTTGCCTTGAATTTTATATCCAGTATCATATATTTCATTTATTCAAGAGAGGAATCTATTTGAGAGAGACGTTTATTTTTTTATGTAAAATGGATACATTATACTCAGATAAACACCCCTTAATTTCAATGCAAATGTGAAACTACTGTTTAATTACTGTCAAAATGTGTTACTGTGTGATAAAAAAAGACTTTTTGATCCCAACCAGGTCAGAAAAAATGTAATGCTGGAGTAGAACATTAATAGAATGTGCTGAGAATGATGTTGAGGGTTTGATTTGCCTCAAAATGCTCCATCAGCAAATAACTGCTGTGGGCTGTGGCTTTACTACAGCAATTTATTTTTCTTCTACAGCAACAAGCTTGGTAAATTGTACTGTAGGCCTATTATATAAATGCAATTGTATAATCCATTGCTGGGCCTGGATCAGGCAACTCGACAGCAAAAAGGTTGCTGTCGAGTGGGATTTACAATAGCAGTGGAAGGCCCTTTCTACAGCAACTGCTGTTGGTGCGTGGGGAAATTCAAACTCGGATGTTACTTCCATTAGATTTGTTTACAGTCATTTAGGGGTTGTTCATTGGAGGGAAAAACACACTCCTCAGGGCATTTCTTCTAGGGAGGTGTTTATTCAAATCGAGGCTCTACAGGCGAAGCTTATTCGAGGGGGGGGGGGGTGGAGGCTTAAATTCAGAGGAAGTTTATTCAAATAAATACAGTATTTTTTAAATACTCTGTTATTACTTTATTAATTACTAAACCACTTTAAAAATAAAGGCTGGGGTCGCAATTGGGAGTCTCTTGGAAATCAGCAGGGTCATTTACAATGTGTTAGCTAAACTGTAAAAAAATAACAATTAGTAATAATTTTCAACAAATACATGCACAGCAACAATAACAATGTACCTCAGTTTCTTAAAAAAAAAAGATTAGGAATACTACTTTACCTTCTTCTGTTAATAATGTAGCAACCAGAATAACAACAGCAATTATAATCAATACACCGATGAGCCTGTAATAAAATTAAACCAATGATAAATTATAAGGTGGCGATGAATAGCTCGGTGGTTAGATGCTCACTGTCCAATCCCAGGGTTCTGAGTTCAAATCCTGTCAGATCCTAGGATTTTTTCTCACAAGAAAAAAAAAAACAACTGCACTACATTAGTTTATTACATTAATCTGTAATATAGTATAAATATTTATATACAAAAATAAAATAGATAAACTATGGTCTCTCTTTAATAAACATATTTAAAATTCCTGATGCTTTTGTCATACAAATAACGTAAAAGTATTTAATTGATATTTGGTAACTTTTTATTGAAACTCAATATCATTGTGTGAGAAAATCAAGTGTGATAATTTTATGAGTTTTAGTATTTAATCTTGGTAGATGATTGATCAGTGGATACGCTTCATTACTGACAAGTCGGGAAGGTTAAATTAAACCTCACTTCAATGATTTGTAACAAACAAATAGATCTTCCCACTAAACCTTGCCCCTTGGATATCATTGCCAAGGTCCCACAAACGACAGTGTAAAAGTATACGCAAGCGACGCACACATGTGCGTTTGTCGAACAAATTGTGTGTTTGTAGCACACATGCTTATTCCTGGCTCTGTTCTGATTGGTCAGTTAAGTTTGATTGACAGAAAGGTCCACTGGTGTGCTGGTGTGCCTTCCTGATTGCGTTGCAGACTGCTGCTATGTAGTGTAGTCATTGCTATAGCAACAGTGCAGTGACTTTATGGAAACTCGGCTTTGCTTATCAATCTTATTCTTACCAATACTGTAATGTTTCTTACCATTTCTGTGTAGTTGACCCAGATGAAAACAGAAAAATAATTATATGTATCGATAGTAAATAGCAAAATCCACTACCAACAAGAATAGCAGACTGCAAGACAAAAAGCAATTGAAGAATATTGTAGATGACAGTTTTGGTATAAATACATATAACCTTATTTTCTGTAATATGACTTTAAGGTAATAAAAATTATTCATTGTTTTATCACACATTATGCTCAGTTTATTTTAGACCAGTTGATCAACAGAATAAACACCTGGACATTTATTGTTGAGAAGGGTTTTGAGGGGACGTTGTAATACAGTAATTACGAGTTCTCAAAGGCAATTATTATAAAATTATTTAATAAAATATTTTTATATAGCGCCTCTTTCTGAAATGAATATGTGTACTATAAAAACCTTATAAACAGAAAAAAAAGAGTTGGCCAATTACCTTCATCAGAAATGGCTGGTCTTGAATACCTTGAACAAGTCGTTGACTAAGGTTGGTGGTAACTCTGACAATTTGCACTGCCTCTAGAGTGAGTAGTGCTGGCTCAGACAGCCATATGAGCTTGTCGTACACCCACACCACAACAAATGGCACCAAGTTTATTGGAAGAGAGATCAGCAAAAAAAACAAGGCAGACTTGAGAAATGGCATAATTGGCACCTTAAAATATAAAAAAATAATAAATACTGTTATTTGAATAAAACTCCCCAGGGCGTTTATTGTTGAGAAGGGGTTTTTTGAGGATAATGGGGGGAGGTGCGCGGGTGGAGCATTATTCAAGGGAGGTGTTTATTGTTTTTGGTGTAAAATGGATATGTATACTCAAATAAATTCCCCTTAATTTCACTGTAAATGTGGAACTACAAAACATAATTACTGTCAAAATGTGTTACTGTGTGAAACCCAAGAACAAGAGTACTTTGCAGAGAAGTCAATTCCCGTATAAATGTCCATGGATCCAGGAATGTTAAATAACAGGCTAGGGAGGGAACTTTACAGATGAAGGGTACAGACTCCCTGATGATTGGGGCTGAAGTAAGACAATTTATGATTATGCCAACTACTGTATATATGGCAGGAAATGACACTCTCAGAGTTAAAGTTGAATACAATTTTCTTTTTATCTCCATTCTTCAACTAAAGCTTCAGTTTGAGTCCTGCAATGAAAATATTCCCTTGTCGGCTTCACTGGGAGAATTTTTCAGAGCTTAATATGGTATAGACGGCCAAACTGTGCTTTTAGACCATAATACAAGGGATTGGCAATCAAAATAACGTTATTTTAATAAGCAAATTATTATTTTATTTTTGATCTGATGACTTAGTCGTGGCGTTGGTCGACGGGGGTGGGGGATGGGTCCGGGGGTGTCCATGTGCAAATGTGCCATATTGCACATGGGACCAATGGCTAAAAGTCTCATCCAAAAGACGGTGTGCTATTGTAATTTGTATTTCAGCCCTTTAGCTTAAACAGGAGAGCAGTGACTGAAATTGAACCAGTGACAAAAAGGTTTGAAAGGATTTCCATGTTTCAGCACACACACACAGCACAGTAGGCCTTGCATGTAGCTCACCAGTTTATGCGTATGAGCTACTGTAAGTTAATAATTCTTTAAAAATGAATAGTATTAACTTTCAACATTACAAGATAAAAATTGATTGTCATGATGCTAACTTCCTGGTTATCATTAGGATTTATGGCGAAAGTCGAAGTGCATTGACTCATATTCTCTTGCCTCATCACCATACTTACACTTTACAAATAAATAGGCCTATGCTAGAAATACCTACGGTAGGCCTAGGCCCAGTTTGCATAGGCCCATGTTCTCTCTAGGCCTACTGTAGGCTCCAATGGCATTACCTAGGCAGGCCCTAGCTCAGGGGTAGGCATAAAAATCGGTTGGAGGGCCAAAGTGAATTTGTGATTTAACACAGAAGGCCACATCTAAAAATTGATGTTTCCAGTAAGCTTCCAAAACCTCCAAGCACTGCCACAACAAGCACTTTATTTTAAGTTTTATTCTTACTTTTTACATTATGATCAGTGTTAGGTCGTAAAAAAACAAGGTTTTTTTTAGCCAATGTTGCTTGGTGGGCAGCAAACATAGGGTTTTTAATCAGCCCAGACGACAACTCTGACCAAGACCAACTCAGCCCAGAATATAACTGTGACCAAAACCAAATTGGCCCAGACAACAAGTCAGACCAAAACATATACTTTTAGTTGTATAGTACTCTCTTTTTATATTTTTCTGTATAGCTTTTGTGATTGCAAGTATGGTTTACGGTATGTAAGGGCATCATTATCGTCAGCTTACCGCTGTCTTGGCTCACCCTCGGTAAATAAAGTTGAATAAAATATTTTTTTAAATACAGTACAAAACTTCCATTACTGGTGTATGCATATTATTTGTCCAAATCATAAAATTATTCGTATTCGCATTTATAACATGTTTAATCATTTGATAATTAATAATATTAATAATAATATTTTTTCATCTATCAATATTTATTTATTCTGTTAATGGTTCCTAATGACTTTTGTTTAATGTACTCGTACTGTTATTTTCTAACTTATTCATCCGTATTATCTGATTCTAACGTTAGGGTTTGTATTTGTTGAATTGATGTTTCTCATTGGCTGTTTGTGAAGAGTGTCCCCAACAGCTTTAGCTGCTAAGGAACTCTATTTTGCCAACTTGACTTTATTTTTTATAAAAATTTTGAATAAAGATAACGAGGATATAATATCTGCGTAATATTTTCGGACGTAAATTATTTCTTTATTCATATAGACGTACTTTTGTTGTGTAGTAATTTCTAATGTAGGCTAATTAAAAATTTACACAACTGATTCAAATAAACATAATATTATAAATGTGTTTAAAAACATTTATTCGTTTAACATTCTGAAAAAAAAAAATTTAATCGTGCATAAAAAATTTAATAATTTATTCATCTCAGGTGTATTTAGGCTCACTTTCAATGACTGCACTTATTATACGATACCGATTAATTCAAGACGCTAAAAATAGTTGGGTGTTTCCTGTGTGTGAAATGATTATTTGACTTTTAGGCGAGACTTTTTTATTTCTTTTTTCACACACTAATTTTCTTAAAGATCATCTGAGGAGGGCGGAATAAAAATAATAACAAGATTTTGTTTTTCTTTAGCAAATAGTTTTGCCAGACGGAGGAGACAATAAAAATAAAATTTTATTAGTGAATGTAAAATAGGATGTTTAAATGCTTCAAATTTATATAATTAGGAAGAAATATACATAACTTATCTTTAGAGATTTCAAGCAGACTAAAACCTTTTATTTTTTTCTGAAATTTCCACTTTTTGTGGCGGCAGGTGTGCTAATTGGCCAAAAATAAAATTTAATTCGAAAACCATCATATTTGCAGTTGACAGGTTCACTAAACAAGGTATAAAGAAAGTTTTTGCAAAGCGCTACATTAACGAAAAATATATTGGGTGCTGCCAATCTGAAAAAACAGTTTACCAAAACATATTTACCAGAAATGCAGTAACAGTAGGCTTATTGCGCCTGTTTAATTTTAAAGTGCTAGATTTATTGAGAAAAAAAAGCTGGGGTAGCCATCCTAAAATAGCAGGCCTACAGTTTACTTTTACACTTTCCTGTCGTGAATTGAAAACAACTTTGGATGTAGCCAGTTTGTAATCAAATGTTACCTGAATAAATCCGTAATATTTGTGTATGTTATTTTGCTTTATATTCATAATAATATTCATTATTTTATAAAGGTATGGTAAAATATGTGCTTAGTATAACTCAAACAATATAAAAATATAGGCCCTATATTATAATAATAAAAATAATAGTATTAGTTCTGTAAATAATATTAAGGCCACGAGAATGAAAGTTGTAGGTTTGCGTCCGAAAAATTTTGAAAACACATGAGACATTTTTTCATTTTTTATTATTCATTGTTTTTTTTATAAATGCTGTCCACAAGCCGCAGCATTGGTAATTTTACATTTATTCCCAAGAAACAATGCTTACAGTCATAAATGTACACTAGCCTATAAAACAGATCCTTTTCTACATTTAAGACCTCTTTAAACATACGAGATTTCCTATTGGTCAGAAAAATCGATTTGACCCGTAAATGACCTCAGCAGTGATCGGCGATCATGGTGCGATGTGGCCAGGCCTGTCTTCGCTCGGTGTTCGCGACGAGTGATCAGTGATGAATAGATCGTTTTTATGTCTGTTTACGACTTAGAAAGTCCGTTTTTTAAAACGAAGTATATTTTTTTTCAAAATAATGAAAATTTTCGTGCGTTAGCTTTTCATGCATGCGGGCGGTGGACGCAAACCTACAACTTTCATTCCCGTGGCCTAATAATTATAATAACAATAATAATAAAATAATAATAACAATAATAATACTGTAATACTACTTACTTAGGCCTAAGTAGCCTACGTGGCCTAGGCAAAGCCGCCTACTAGTCCACACCACGCTACTACCGGCTAATCTAGCCTGGCTAGGCTATGGCCTAGCTAGCCTAGTAACCACCAGCCTGGCTCTGGCTCTGGCAGAGGGACCCTCTAAAAGAGTAGTAGTACTAGGCCTAGCCTACATACACTTACTTTCACAGGTCGTCATATATACAGCCTTACGACAATCATGTTGCAAATAACTGCCTGATCCAAATAAATTAATGTGAGTAATTATTCACACTTACCAACATCTCTGGCAGAATTGCGCCGCAAATGACATTGTTAATGATGAGAAGCAGCGAAAATCGAAGCACAGCTTCTGGCCCACGAAACGACCCGAAAACTGGAAGAGAAATTATCCAAAAGAATGGGGCTAACGCCACACAATCCGTCCCCGAAAGAGGCAAACACATTGCTTTGAATCATTCCAAACTGACTGTTCTAAAATGCATGATGTATACAAGGCAAATGAGGTATAAATTGAAATAAATGTTCCAAAATCAGGCCCTCCTTCCTTCAAATTTCCCGGAATAAGAGCGCTTCTCTCTCCCCTATGAGATTCGTTCCCATCAATCACTTCTTTGCTTATTGATAAACATTGCGACTACTTCCGGGTGAGCAGCTGAGCATGCAACAACGCAATAAGATGTGAATTTTTTTTTTCCGTGAAAGGAAATTACACATTTTCAGATTGTTACCCGTCTCAAAATGAATTTAGATTTGTTTGAATACGAATGGAAGTTAATTGAAACAGAACTCTGCAATTGCAGTCTTAATGAATATTCTAATGCTGTAGAGATTTGGCTTACAAAGCCCCATGTTGTGAATAGGCGAGTATGTACATCTCAAGTGCTATGGAGGATGAAAGAGCTTCCAAACCCAAAACTATCATCATCAATAGTTCTAGAATTTCTTTTAGATGACCTGAGCTTGCTGACAAATTTTGTTTCCAAGACTGAAGAGATTCAAACTCTATACGAACAACATTATCAGAATTTCATAGCATGCAGTACGCAAGAACTCAAAGTAAACAAGGATGGAGAAAGGAGCTCATTTGCTAATAAACAGTTAGGCCTAGAATGTTGTGTCCGCAAACTGTTACCAAGAAACAGAAAGAGTGAATTTCCAGTCAATGAAATAATACTTATTGGTACGAGTTAAAATTTATGGTTTATGGTGTGATGGTAAAGTAGAATCGGTGGCGGATTCAAGGGAAGGCCAGCCGGCCCAGACCCCCTTTAAAATTTTTCAAAGTTATAAAAAAAAATGTGGAGAAAAAAGAGTGCCATTTCCGGCCATCTAGAGGTGCCTTAATCATAAATTCTCATACCTCAGCCTCAGTGGTTTACACTTCTATCTATATGTGAAAGTCCCTCTATTTCAATTTCTGGATTCGCACTCATCTTTTCCTGATAATTATGGTTTAGTTTTTAGTATTAATCAGAGTCAACAACAAACTCTAAAGCACTATATCATTTCACTTACTACAAAATTAAACTTCAATTTGCTAATGTTTATTAGAAATAATTTAAATTTGTGAATTAATTTTCCATTTTAACATATCAGTCTATGATTTATTTTATTTTTAATCGTGTTTTATCATTTCAGATAATTCAACCTCATCAATATCATTCGTGTTTATTCCACTTGAAGTTCAACCCACAATCCCTCGGAATTTTCAAAGTCTCATTAAGCATGCTGGGTACAAGTTATTGTTTAATGAAAATGAACATAGGTAATAAAATGTCACAGTTTTTATTGATATGGTAAAGACATACACAACTGCCAAAGAGTCACGTGAGCATCCACTTTTTACGTCTTGCACCTACGTTGTATTATCTTGCATCTTAAAAATGTTTATTAGAGATATGTACAATGATATAGGCAGGACTAGATTAACACAGGGTCTTTTCAATTGGGGCGTCAGCCCAAGCCCACAGTCCCCAATGGGGAAAAATAGGACCCTAAACCCCAGGGAAAATGTCACTGAAAATCTTGTTTATGTTTTAGCCGCAGAGTATTTAGGTCAACTTGCAATTACAGCCCCAGGCACCACATCCCTTTAATTAGGCCCTGGTAATAGACCAATTATACAATAAAGTTTGTAAAAAAGTTTATTCCTCATTAAAAGGTTAATAAAGGCCATATAAATTTCAAATCTATACCAACCGTGGACTATAATCTGTAGTTCCTCTGCGATAAAAAAAAAAAGGGGCGCTCTATTTCGTGATTATTACACAGAGGGCGCTATATGCAAATTTTAATTATTTTTTTGTCTCGTGCATCATCACACATGAACATAGTTGGCAGATATAGACAAGGCAACTTCAAGAACATTCCTAATTTATCAATAACCTGTTCTTCTGACTACTAGAATATGAAATCTTAACAGTTATAAACATAATCATCATCAACATTATTATTATTATTACAGTAATATGTATATTTATCAATTATTATTATACTGAATTAAATATCTGTAATGAGTTTGTAACTCATTACCACCAGGTTGATTATTTCATTTCATTTCATTTCTTTAGGCACGAGAGCCAAGGATATGCCAATAAGTGAACTTAATCACTGTTCTAAGTGGCTATCCATTAAACAACAGGGGACTTAATGGACCAGTACACCGGGGTAACCCCCTACTCTTCTCGAAGGATGTACTAGGCTAGGTGTACTGGGTTCTTTAAAGTGCACACGAGCCAAATGCGTACACTGGGCCTACGGTTTAATGTCCTTATCCAAGAAGACTTGTTCCACCACCGGAACCATTGGCGAGTGAGCCGTTCGAACCAGCACCGATATTAGAGCTGAATGTTACGGTGCCCCTGACTTAACTGCTCGGCCAATCAACTCGCCACAATACCTGATTACAATACCTTTACCTTATTGGTCAGTGAATCTACATCGTATCCTGTCACAGAATTAGGAGATTATGATGTTTACATTCTTAATTAAAACTCAAAATTAATTACGGTACCGAAAACCACTATTAAGGGGACAACTTCAGGACTCCCATAAAATCCCCTTAATAACATGCCCCTGAATAGGGGATGTTGAAAGGTATAGTTTCCCCAACTTCAACCAACAAAAATTCACAGTAAAAAGTTAGTTTGATAATATATTACCTGCTCATATGCATTTTATTTCACACATACTTGCATGTAATTTGAAAAACGCTTCAATGATTTATTTTCTTGTAGCTTGAAGTTATTTGTCGGACAAGAGTACTCGGCGCCATCTACAGGAAGCTTTGCAAGACCATCTATATCATGGTTGAAAAATCACTTACTTCCCAGGTTGTTGAAATGGGCAACAGAAAGCAATCCAAACCCTGGCAACGTATTTACATCCTTAATTGCTATGGATGAGTATAGCCAATTGTATGGCAAACTAAAAGAGAAATATGGTGCCAAGTTTGTTAAGGTAATTAGATAGAAGAAACCATTAGATACATTTGCAATAATTGGCCTTATAAAGTTTATTTAATTATAATTAAATAAAACTTGTTACTTAGATTTGGACAGAAGTAACAGACCCTCTAAAGTTTGTTTATGAGGACGTTGCCATAGCAGCATACATCCTAACATTGTGGCGGCATGAGAGAGATGAGCGGGGCTTATCAGACCCACAATCCTTCATTGATCTTGGATGTGGTAATGGATTACTGGTGCACATCCTGAACTGTGAAGGGGTGAGTGTTCGATGGTAAAAAAATTCATGCAACTTATCAATCGCTCACACATACTGTGTACTGATCTCGATTATAATAGCTGGATTGCTTATTGGCTGGTTTTAGTAAAGTCACTGATGCCATATTGGACCTAAAACGTCACAAATAAATACAACGATCACAGCGCAAAACTTTTGAATCGGCATGACAGGCACCAATAATGTGACATCGCTCACACTTTTGTAAACTGCACAAACAGGCATTTTGTGTGGTTAGATGATGTGAAAAAATCCTTGTTAAATTTAATTTGTTATTAAAAAGTTTTGCAAGAATCAATATTTTTAACAATAATTTAAACAATTGCAAACAAAAACTGATGCATCACTTGGGTACAGTACTTGCATATGGCGTCGGTGGCTTCACTTTTTTCTGTACAATGATTGGCCGATGAGCAATCCAACCATTATAATAGAGACTAGTGACACTATGTCATCTCAGTGTCTGAATACTTAGCATTTAGCATCAGTTACTGTTCTTGCTTTTGCCGCAAGAATGGGCTTTACAGCCCATACTGATACCTCAGGTTTGTCACAATCTCTGACCAGGCTTCATGATCCATTGCTTTTTGTTGTCAAATTTCTTTTAATTGCTTTGTTATTTTTGACATCCAAGTCAGCCTTTGTCCTCCTTTTTTCTTTTTAAAATGTCCTTTCGCTTCCGATATCGTGAGTTTAGCTAGCGAATCTTCAGGTAGTCTGGTTAGATGTCAAAGCATGACAGATGGCGGATTCAATAATTTGAACCATTTTACCGCTTTTGTTATTTTGTACACTTTTTTGTTTGACATTTTCTTAGGGAATATAACTTTCATAGCTTTCCTTAAAAGGCTTCTGTGGAAACTATCGATCAAAGGTGATGATCAGAGATGGCCAACTCTCACAGTTCTCTTAATTCAGCTGTTTTAAATTTTAAACTGTTATGGTTCATATAGACAAAACATTGTGTTTTTTTTTTAAGTAGAATGTATAAAATTTCATATGTTCACAATATATATAAAATTACTTCAGTCTCATAATAATGGAATAAACAATATCTTAAATTACTACCGTATATTTACAAGTACTGTATTCTTTACTGAAAATAAAGGTAAATTTTTTTTTAGCATCCCGGAAAAGGAGTTGATGTTCGCCGAAGAAAAATTTGGGATCTTTACGGAGAGGAGACATGCTTAGAAGAAACAGCAATCACTCCATCAGACAGTAATCTATTCCCAGAATATGATTGGCTGATTGGTAACCATTCAGATGAGTTGACCCCCTGGATACCAGTTATTGCATCCAGGTTAGCATACTTTGAAGTTCAACTTTTATTTGTAACTTTTCATTTTGTTATCAAACTTTTTATAGGCATTGTTAATCTGATGTTCATTTGGCCAGGTGGATTAGAGGATACTCACATCCTGTGTTGAGCTCCCAGCCCATGGTGTCCTCTTGGCACTCCTCTGGCCATGATTTGTGATTTTTGTGCCGAATATGTAATAAATAAATAAATAAGTAAATAAATGAGTTTGGATTGTAACTACTATGACCCCCCCCCCCATATTCATTATTCAATGCTTGTTTAACATTATTTATAATGTAAACATTTCATGTGTCCATTCATTGATTAGATGTTTACTTAACTGTAATTCTCTCTTATTTTTTTTCAAAGATCATCTTTTGATACAAGGTATTTTGTTCTTCCCTGTTGTTTCCATGATTTTAATTGCAAATTTTCTCGGAAAAAGTCAAGTCAAGGACAGTACAGGTCTTATCTAGACTTTGTCGCAGACATTGGAAAAACGTGTGGGTTTGATGTACTTGAAGATAGACTTCGCATTCCTTCAACTAAAAGGGTATGTTTTATGAAAAGTTTAAGTTTCTGTAAAAACAACAGAGTGTATAATTGAGTTTGTGTATTCAGTTGTTAGTATAAAACAAGTGCTTACATACTATGGTATGTGGTTGTGATACTATATGTATGTATTTTCCTTTCTTTCATTTATTTGATTTGATAGACTGTGTAAATGTCAGAACCATTTGTTTCCTTTTTAGATATGTCAAGTTGGGAAGCAAAGGACTTATAAACCAGAAGAACAGGCTACAATTGATAACAAAATAACAGAACTCATTCAAAGACGATCATGCTTAAATAAAAGTACAGGTGTTAACCAATCATTAGTGTGTGATATGCAAATAGGTTCTACACCTGGATCACATGATGTTGGAGATAGTGAGTTTGTCACTGAAAGGAAGCGAGAGCTTGATACAATCGATAACCAGAGATGTTCGCAGAAGATGAAGTGTAGTGAGGAGAAAGAAGATGTTCGTAGTAATGACAAGAACCATGTTTCTAAAGACTCATATAAGTGGGTTCAGGGTTTTATAGCAAGAGATAAAGTTGAGCGGGTTCGCAACTGCGCTACACTCAGTGTAGACTTGCGCCAGGAAATCATCTCAAAAGTTGCCTTTAGGCTGCTTGAAGAAGGCGGGGTTGATTTGAATGTAGATAGCGATACGCCAACTCCTACACATAAATGGAGGAGAGGAGGTAATTTTTACAATATAATGTTGGATAGCTTGCTCTTTATACAGGTCAGTAATGGTTCTGGTGGTGGAACAAGTCTTCTCGGAAAGGGATATAAACCGTAGGCCCGGTGTACACAATTGGCTCATGTGTACTTTAAAGAACCCAGTAAATATTTTGAGACGAGTATGTATGTGTTTACCCCGGTTTACGGTTTATACAGCCCCTGTTATCCTGAGGCTGTGGACCATTAGGTCCTTTGCAGGATATACAACATTTTTCTGTCAATATGGAAGAAAACACTCAAAAATACATATTAAATATTGCATAGCTAATTTTTTAATAATAATAATAATAGTTGGATTTGTATAGCGCATCATGCGAAAAAGGTCTATGCTCTTGGTGATTGAGCTCTTTGAGTTTGACATTTTTGAAAAAGTTTGTTATTTTATGAAACTAAAAAACCTCCTCTTTAAACTAAGGCATGGTTGGCCGTTGGCTCCGAGGAGTTCATCCGTCCTTTGTTCAGCTGTTTTTTTTTCATGCTGCTGGATGTACATCCACCCTCCCATCGGTGGGCGCTAAAGACCATCAGATGGGGTTGCTGGAATTAGTCGCCGACGACTCAACAAAAAAAATATATATAAAATAAATAAATAAAAATAAATAATAAATATGTTATCAGCTTTTAAGATCTTGCTGATTCAAAAATAATAAAATTGACTACCAGCCAAATTCAGAATTTGTTTTTAGCTCATCGCAAACATCTTTAATGAGCAGTGTAATCAATTTGCTCATGCTATGTCTGTTTAGCTCATCACAGACATCTTTAATGAGCAGTGTAATCACATTGCTCATCCCATGTCTTGTGTAGCTCATCACAGACATCTTTAATGAGCATTGTAGTCAACTGGCTCATGCCATGTCTTGTTTAGCTCATCACAGGCATCTTTAATGAGCATTGTAGTCAACTGGCTCATGCCATGTCTTGTTTAGCTCATCACAGACATCTTTAATGAGCATTGTAGTCAACTGGCTCATGCCATGTCTTGTTTAGCTCATCACAGACATCTTTAATGAACATTGTGATCAATTTGCTCATGCCATGTCTTGTTTAGCTCATCACAGGCATCTTTAATGAACATTGTAATCAATTGGCTCATGCCATGTCTTGTTTAGCTCATCACAGACATCTTTAATGAACATTGTAATCAACTTGCTCATGCCATGTCTTGTTTAGCTCATCACAGACAATTTCCTATACAATGCTCATGTGATGTCTTCCAATTACTTGCAGTCATCCTTTTATGCCTGCAGAAAAATCAATCATCTTGTGGTATCAGTCTTTCAATTGGCTATGATGATGGTCACTCAGTTTTATGAGGATAATATTATGCAAATTAGATAATCCTTTCTTTCAATTTATTCTAGGCCAGTTGGATCTGCCAGCTATTGCCAAGTTCTTAGGTTCAGATACTTTGAAAAAGTTGAAACAAGAATGCGGAGGCCTGAAGACACTCCTGAAAAATGCTAACCAAGTGTTCAAAGGTTTGACAGTGTTCTTTGTTGTGAAAAACACAGCTAGGTTGATGTGTTCATTGTTTCTGCATACAAGTTGATGATATGTATAGAGACCCAATGTACTGTACAAGCATACTACCCTCCAATCCTAACCAGATACTACATGGGCACACTGATAATCCTTTGAGTTTCTAATGGAGAGGTTGGGAGGTCAAGTCTGAAGCCTACTACTTGTTAATGTCTTTGGCAAGGCATTTTATCAGCCTGGCTTCTCTCTACCTATGGTGATCACATTCACTGTAACAATGAAGCGGCTTTATTAAAAACTATTTTCTCCATGATGAAACGTCTCTTTGTTTTGTTTTTTTTGGTATTTTTTTCAATTTCCTGACGGCTTCGCGGCCCTCCAAAAATGTTTCGCGGCCCAAATTTGGGCAGCGGACCATAGTTTGCGGAACGTCGATTTAATAATATTAAATCATCGTTCTCGGTCACACAGAGGTTCTTCAGGTGAATGATGTGATGGTGTTAGTTCCTTTGCTCTTATTTGTTCCATCTGGGTTTTGGGTAAACTATTTATATAATAGGTGCTGCTTTTGCCTCCTTGCTTTTTACAGATTTTTACATGTTCTTGCAATTAATTGTACAAATTTCTTCTTATTCAGTGTCTGGCAACTTTGTTCAAGTTCGTGATTGGGCAAAATCTGATCTTCGCTCTGCCAAATCAAATCAGTCGCTCAAGAGATTGCAAGATAAAGGATTACTATTCAAGACCAAACATTGCTGGTTCCATGGCAACCATCCTGATGGCTGTCCCCTTCCAATTGAGACTTGTCCATTTGCTCATGGGGATGATGATTTGAGGGAAAGACCAAGTTTTAGATAAAAATTGCACAACCCTGTCAAGCCAGTGTATGTGCAAATCACATGAAACATATAGTGTGGACAAAGCTATACTTGTAAAGTTTTATGGGACAGATACCAATGATATGCCCATATATGGGTGTGATATAAAAATCATCATGCCCATATATATAAAGTTAGTACTTGTGTATTGTTGTAAGTTTATGATTTTGAATAAAACATTGAAACTTAACTTTTATCTGTATTTGATTTAATTATTTCATTTTATTCTCCATTTAAAAGACAGAAGAAATAAAACTAATGACAAAAATTTGTGTGAGTGAATAAGTTTTAATTCTTTGGTCATTTATGATTTCATGTACAGTGTGAATTTCAATTACATAATTTATTTGTATATGAAGACAACAATTTAGTTGGTCTCAACCATCGTTCTGCTTCGTACAAACGACTGTGCGTTACTCTGAAATATAAAAGAGGACAATAATGCCAGATTTACATTTTTTTGTGGATAGTAGTAGGATATGAAAATGTGTGGTAGTGTAGATGATGATGTTATGTAATATATACAAATAAAACTATAAAGAATGATATGGTTAATGCAGTAACAATTAGAAAAGTCAATTTAAAGTACAGCATCAATAACTAAGCATTCAATTAATTACAATTAACTGATCATTGATTGTTATTATATTTACAAACCTGTGTATTTGTGGATAACACACTCCTGTTGTTCTTTCTGTCAGCGGAGCTATCATTTGGTGTCCATGGAATATAGACACTTGTGTACGTCTGTGGATATTTCGCTATGTTTGCCATGTACTTCTTGTTTAACTGTAAACCATCATACAAAACAATACAAGGTGGAATGAGGTGATTTTAACTACTAGAGCGTAATTTTTTTTTTTTTTTGCTTTGAATATTTCCAGTGGGAGGGGCTACTGATAGGGTGTAATAGGCACTTTACGCAACAGGACGGGAAGATGGGTGGACGGTGGTTTTGTGCTCGTCAGCGCGTGAAGACCACAGTAAACAATAGGGCGCTTAATCCGAATTGCCGTTCTCAACGGCTCCCCGTCCTGTTATGTAAAGTGCCTAATATTCGGCACTTCACCCGCTACTGGAATATTCCCAAAGTTAGACTTGTACACCAAATAAAAAGCATATAAATAACATTATAAAGAGTAAATCACTACGTTTGTAACCTTTTTCGTATTGATAAAAACAGTGGCTCAGTGTTACGTCTTTCAGTTTCATATTGATATTTGTTTTTGATGACGTATATTGTGAGACTAACGATTTATATAAACTTACCTCCCATTCGTGTTCCCATTTGAGGTGGCTGTAGTGAGCTTCTTTTGAGAAGATTCTCTTTAGAATAGCTTGATTTTCGTGAGTGACTCGAAGTAGTTCTCGTTGACGTTTTGTTTTATTAAGACTGTGAAAGGTAATAGAAAACTGCTTTTAACTAGCTATATTATCTGTATGTTAAACTATTACCAGAAGAAAATGAAGTGGTTGGTGTACACCGAGGTTGGAAAAGATAATATGGTATTATATTAGTTTTGAAAATTATGTCGCTCCCACAAACATTATAATAACTACAAACATTATAATAACTTTAAAAAAATTATTTCTAGAATGTATTTAGGCATTGTTCTATGTCTGTCTCTTATACACATCTCATACTACCCTCCAATCCTAACCAGATACTACATGGGCACACTGATAATCCTTTGAGTTTCTAATGGAGAGGTTGGGAGGTCAAGTCTGAAGCCTACTACTTGTTAATGTCTTTGGCAAGGCATTTTATCAGCCTGGCTTCTCTCTTGGACTTTATACTCTCTTATACCTGTCTCTTATACACATCTAGATGTGTATAAGAGACAGATATATATCAGGGCATATTCTTACATATTATGAAGACGTATTACCTTTTTTGTTCGTAGTCATTGTAATTGTCTACACGACCGCGTGTCCGCATGATGTGGCACATCTTTTCCAGCAAAATTCGGTTGTCTCGTTCGATGATAGCAATTCGTTCTTCTTCCATTTGTAGTTTCTTCAGTTTCAAGTGTAGATGCATGTATGTCTGTGGTGGTTTGTTGTCTATTACTGCTTGAGCTGCAAAAACAAAATATATTTTGTCTGGATGACATGATGGTAAATAATAAGATATGATAAAATATGGTTATGATTAGGCCTATATGATATATGATGATGATGTGATAGGCCTATGCATATGGTAATATAGGCCTATATGATCTGTGGCGGATTCAGTGGTGGCACTCTAGCTAAAATTTAAAAAATATAAATCTGTTTACGCCACTGATGATGGCATTGTAAGTAAGTATAAAAGTTAATAAATAAATATGATCGACAGGATACGATATAGGCCTAGGCCTAATCAATAACAACGATACGATACATGGCACAAGAGGTTCGCCACGGCACGGTTTTCTATTAATTGTTGTTTTGAGACCTGATTTATCTTCTGAAAAACAAATCTAAACAGAGATATCAAAGGAAAAAGAGTTCACCAATTACCATTTTGAACTTTTTGCCGATGCCTGTCGAAGCGACTCTGGTCCCATCTTTTCTTGAGCAGTTTGTTATTTGCCGGAGTAATCGGTTGATACGCGCGATGCATTGTTATATTTAATTGACCATGAGATAAAATATAGCCTAGGCCTAAGTAGGTACAGGTACGCCTAGAAAATAAGCAACAAAACCAGTAGCTCATTTAATACCAGAATTTGTTATTGCTGCACATTCCAATTTACGCTAAATTCTAAAAACATTCTCAGCAGCTTACGCAACGCGTTAAATAGAACCATATTATTTTATCGCGCGCTTTTCTACCAATGTGCGTACTCTGTTCGCCATTTCAAAGGAGTTGAGTTTGTGAGCATAAGTTGGTATTGCTTTGGGTGCTTACTGTTTTATTGTGGGTTATTGTTACTAGATCTACTCTTGTTTGTACATAGGCCTAGATTACTATTATTTTAAGTTTAGATCTATTATATTAGTCATGGAAACTGTGTTGCCTAAGAAGGAATGTGATGCTACAATTTCGGAAGATGAGCCGAAGCCTGTTGCCAATTTTAATCAACGTCCAACACTCGGGTTAACTGGCTTTAAAAAGGTAAAAAGGTATTTCTTGATGTTATTATCCAAGATATGAATCGGGACCAACATGAGGCTAGGAGGGCTTGGCGTATAACTATCTATAATATAAATGTAGGCCTATGCTAGGTAGGCCTTTTTTATTTTTATTTATTTATTTATTTATTTCTTCAGATTGGAGAGAAGGTCAAAGTAGGAAATCGTTTTATTATTGGAAAGAAGGATAGGCCTCTTGTCCAAAAGGATAGGTAAGAAAGTCAAATATAATTAATACTAAAGGGAGAAATAAGCCTAATGATAAATATGGAAACACATAAGCTCAATATCATTACCTTACATATATTTTGAATTATATTTTTGAACGCAACACACACATTATACAGTATCAGATTTTATTAGTTTACACTTTGACTTTATACTTTAACTCTTCTGCTACTTCCGAGCACACAATGTCACAAGGTATAAATACCATCAAATTTTACACTTATACTTACTATGGTTCAAATGGATACCGGTAAGTAAAAAAGTCAAATATATTTTTTTAGTAAAGGAGAAACAATGATAAATATGAAACATAAGCTTAAAATCATTATAACTTAAAATATTCTAAATTATGTTTTTGAACGAAACAATACACACATTAAAATAAGCCTATATACCGGTACATTATCAGATTTTTAAAGTTTATACTTGGACTTTATACTCTCTTATACATACCATCAAATGTTACCGATATGTGATATATTTACACTTTTATTTACCTACACTTATACAGGTTTGTATGGCGAGTAACAATAACAAAATAATAAGGTTTTGGTAAACCACAGGTTGGTTGTCATGGTTTAGAAACAACCAGTGGTTTAACACCAAAAACCATATTTTTACACATGGTGTACCGAAAGATTTTGCCATTGATGTTTGTTATTTATCCATATAAGGATGAGATATGATATCATCATGCCCTTTTATGGATGTGATATTATATCATGCATATAATGGTAAAATCATGAATATTTTTCACAATGGTAGTGAGGATAGACTGGTCAAAGTCGATGGCAATTGAACTAAATCATGTAATAAATTCATTATCAAAGTTAACGTTGGCAGATTCAACATTTAGATTATTTTTGATCTGTGTCTGATGATAGTGATGTTTGTTTCAGACATCTGATTAGACAAATCGTGTGATTTTACTGTCAGTTTTAATTGTGACACCGCTCTACTTTATCAGACAAGGAGCTCAGACACAGGCTGACTTTCAAATGTTGCATGTGATAGGAAATGAAGAGTACTATAATATAGTTTCTGTCTCTTATACACATCTAGATGTGTATAAGAGACAGATTGTTTCTTCCTCCAGCGATGGAATACCACGAGTTTTCACTTTTGATGCCGCTGCGGTAAGTGCAATTGGATAATTACGTTGAAAGACTGGATAATAGTAGGCCTAGGTATGTCATTGCATGATTTAACTGAGTTTTCATTTAGTATAGGTGAAAGAAGGAGCATCGATATCGGATCTGTTTGCAAGGGATGAAGTTGAGGAGGATTTCAATGCCATTGTGGATCAAGATGATGACAGAGTTGAGGCATTTGTGTCCCAGGAGTTAGTCGGACAGTTGGTTGATAGCTACTTCTTTAAGTCTTTCATTTTCGCTGTGATTGTTGTCAATGCTATTTTGATAGGGCTCCAGACAAACGAGGAACTAGTAAGGCCAAATAAATATAATTTAAAAATTGAATGGAAAAAAATTAACTAAGAATTAATGTTATAAACATCTGAAATGTTAACGAAATCTAACATGTATCGTCACACTCTAATTATTAGTCAGCCTGCCCTTCTTAAAAACGGTACGCATAGAAATCGAAATGGATAGTAAGGATGAAGAATATTATAGGTTATAATGCTTCACATCTTATCCCTACAGTCGAGGGACTACGCTAATGTTTTTTCTGTATTCGACAACATTGTGCTTACTATATTTGTGTGTGAACTGGCTTTAAAGTGGTACAATGGCTTCTTCATCTACTGGCGAGTAGGATGGAATGTGTTAGACTTCTTCATCATATTGACGCTTCTTCTGGGTCCAAGTAAGCTTCGTGAATTGTACTATGGTATTTTGAAATTGCCATTTTAAATGAAACAACACTGAATAAAATAATAATTTCTGATATTTATAACAGCACTTTCCACGTTGAAAAAAGCGCTACACAATGTATAATGTTAATCGTTTGCTTACGCTCCCAGGTAGGCATGTTATGCAAAATAATCAGCAGACCAAACCGAAACATTCACATATTATCAGACATCCATTTATAATTATTCTGGGAAGAGAAAAGCAAACTTAGTTTACGTCCCTTGGCCAGTGGCACAAGACAAGGTCAGCCTGAGATTACCATCCACACTGTCAGGCCAATACACCCGACGTCAATCACTTCTTTCTCCTCTCCGTATTTCGTTCTCTTCACGTATTTTCCTTCATTGTTACTTTTCTCTTGATTTTTTTTTTTTTTTGGAAATAAAGATAAAGCCATTAATGTTCACTTTCTGGTTTTTTTTCATAGCACTGACGTTCCTGGGCAGTAGCCGCATCCTACGGATCTTGCGTGTTCTAAGAGCTTTCAGAAGTCTCAGGAGGTAAACAGGCATAAAAATTGAATCCAACTTTATTGTCAAACGAAATCAAATTCATACTGTAGCTACAATGCGAAAAATTGGAAAGTTTCGAAAAACCATAGGAAAACGATAACAAATACTTCACATTTACGTCATATTTTACGTTTCAATTTACGTCACATTTTATCTGTGTAAACAGGAATTTCTTTGCAAAAACTTATGATAACGGTAACAATTACGTCACATCCTCATTTTCGTTATTCTTGCATACAAAATGTCTGTTCCTCGCACTGTAGATAATTTCCTAGATGTGAGAGTTTCTGTTGAGACACAGAAGCTTTGAGTACTATAATATAGTTTTACTCGTACTAAATCGAGGTAAAAATTTAAAATTTATGACATAAACGTGTCTGGTAGTTTTCGTAACCTCCGAAACAATCCTAAAGAATTAAGCAAATGTAAAAAAAAAACAAAAAAAAAACAAAAACATATACTGCCTATAAATATGTTCGAATATAGGCCTATAAAATTGTTCGAAGTGACATTTCGACAATCGTTATCTTTATCTTTATGTGAACTACGGTAGTCATAGAAATCTGTATTGATTTCAACCGGGGTTGATAAATGGAGAAGAAAAATAACACGTTACTACATGATCATCGCATGTTATTTGTCTTGTAGCATTAGTGCATTGGCGGGAATTTCTGTAGTTGTGCAGACGATATTTCAATCTGTTCCAGGTAGGTAATTGGTGCATTTTGTTTTTTCAAATCTCGCATTATTTCAATATATATCCTATCTAAATTTGGCAAATTTTATTCAATTTGCTTTATTGTTGGTGGTTCTTCTCGTCACGGCTTCCAAAGCCCTATACATAGGCCTGTACATGTGCCTATTAGAATGCGTTGCTATAATTCTTTCTACTTTTCATGTAAATGCGAATATACCTTACATACATAAAGTATAAGCACTTCTAATATTTATTTGCATATTTTGGAATTTTTAATTTAGTACAAACAACATTTCCTTATAATACGTTTTCAACTTTTCCCCCAGACATGACAAATATCGCTCTTCTTTTGGTCATCATAATGTCTGTACTGAGTGTAGCAGGTGTTTCCTTGTTTGGCAGAGATGTACCAAAACACTTTGGTGATATGACTTCAGGTAAAGTGCCAATCAGTTAATCGGTCAAACAGTCAGTTACACAGACAATCAAACCAATCTATCAATTAATCAAACAACCAACCAACCACACACAGACAATCAAATCAATCAATCAATTAATCAATCAACCAACCAATCAACCAATTGTTTTATCAATCAATCAAATAATCATTCACTCAAACATCACGCTCTATTTTTAGTCGATCAACCAATCAATGAAATTGTTAAGCCAATCGTTAAATCAACCAGTTGATCAATAGATTAATTGATCTTAAACAACGAATCGACCAACCAATCACTAAATCATTCTGTCAATCGATTATTCCATTGTTCAATTAAACAATTGCTCAATCTGTCAATCAATCATAAGAATCAAACATAAGAAAGGACAAGAAAGGTAAAGATCAGGAACATTTGAAGGGAAAGGAAGAGAGACAAGAAGCAAAAGGGAAAGAAAAATGAAAGGATTTGGGATGAATAGGAAAGTAACAGGCCTTGAAATGATTCCTATTACCAAAGCATTGTAATAATAACATTTATTGATAATCATCAAACCAATCATTTGAACTTAATTATTTTTTTCTTCTTCTCTGTTGTTGTTAAGCGCTTCGAGGTTGTGTCAACGTGAGGCGCTATATAAATCCAGAATTATTATTATTATATTATAATCAATCAACCAACAATAGTATACATTTCTTTAGGCACGAACGCCAGGGATATGCCAATAAGTGAACTTAATCACTGTCCTACGTGGCATATCCATTTAACAAATTATTGGTTAATATTACTATACAATTAACACAAATTGTTGCTTATGTTTTAGCAATGTTTTCGTTGTTTATCTGCGTAACTCAAGACGGATGGAGGGGTGTTTTCAAGGATTTTGAGGTACAATAATATTCAGTTTTATTTTTAGCATATAATTATGTTTTTTTAATAACATTATAACAATGGCCTATTTTTATGAGACTTGGGGAGTGAAGATGACTTTGGATTGCAAAGAAAATATTTTTTTGTTGAACCAACGACTTTGAGTTTGGAAGGTGGACATCCCAAACACAAAGTTACAGCCCAAATCCAAAAGCAACACCTGGGCTCACATGCTATGAAAATTCTCGATTAGGCCTTGCTTAAGGTAATCTGAGTTGTCTTGAAGCTTTAAGTATAATAATATTATGTGAAGTACTTCATTATATGCCATAAGCCAAGTTGTTTTTGCATTATAATAATTTTCTTTCGTATGTTTTGTTACCATACTCAAGGAGAAAGGTCTGTTTGTTACCGGTGCTCTTTACTTTATCGTCTGTATCATTGTCGGTGCATTTGTGTTTGCGAATCTGGTAGTGGCGGTCGTCGTAACCAACCTGGTATGAATAAGCCAATTCATAGTTCTAACTGCGCATGCCCATATCAAGGTCAGTTGACATATAAACAAACATGCACATAACATAGGTTTATGTCTATTGACCTTGGATACGGGTATGTGTAGTTAGAACTAAGAATTAGCTTATTACCCTTCACTTAAGCTCGGTTTCCATAAAATCGCCACACGCCATTGCTGACAGCTTTCGGCGACACTGATTGGTCGGTAGTAATCGGAGAGACTTCCCGATTGCTTTGGGGACAGGAAAATGCTGTAGTGGAAGTGAGCGCAGCCTAAAAACAAACGTAGGGCCTACAGTATTATTCAATTGTGTTTTCAATTGTATTTTCAGTTGTTTTAAATAGATTTTGATGTTATTAAAAAAAAAATAATTGTTACTGTGAGCACAAAATAAAAACAAACAAACAATATATACTATATGCATTTTTATACATGTCTCTAATTAAAGACCCCTCCCCCCAAAAAAACCACCTCCAATTAAAGACCACTTGTCTGTGGTCCGATTACCAAATGTCTGTTATCCTTAGTATTGGAGACCAAAGCTGCTAAAATCCAAAAAGTGGTCTTTAATTGGATGGAAACCTATGTGTGCTCTGACCAAAATCCAGATATTTTTTTTCTTCTATAGGATAAAGCTATGAGGGATGTAAAGGAAGAAACCAAGAAAAGAGAGGATACGCTTTCTGCAAAACCAGTAAATCATGAAGATGGTAATAGAATATAAACGTATCGTTGGTAATGTAGGCCTAATTTGTTGATTCATGGCACAGCACAGCAGCAAATGCTCCATTTGAAACAATTTAAACCTGTTTTTGATGAAAACCGTATGCATTCTGATGTACTCATTACAATGATGTAATTGATCACTGCTTCCGCGACAAATGAAATGAACCGACGGTGTGTCGACCGATGTGATAAACCTGCTAAATAATTGGCATTTCAGTATCTCAGTCCGGTTCGGTAGCATAAATTGTACAGTATTTGGTAACACGAATGAGCATAACTATTCAATTAACCATAAGCCTATTATGCAATTATCTAGTTAATGGTCTGAGTATGACACTATCAAAAAATGCCTGCTTTTTTTTTAAAGAAAGATAGGCTCCTCTACTTTCTATAGGGTCTTCTATGATGATAATCATATAAAGAACCAAATATTATGATATATGAATAATGTGTTTCTGGTTGGTGTGTGAGGGATCATTTGTGTAGGTGGGGTGTAAAGCGGAAAGCAGATAAAAATCCAAGTAAAGTATTTTCTTTTTGAATTCAGACCATTTGCATGTTGAGCAGAGCGTTCCTATCATAAGTGTTGACAGTGTTTGCGAAGAAGCACACTTGAATCTTCAAAAACCTCTCTATTTTGGCGTAAGTGTACTAGAGATATGCCAATCAAATAGACGTAAGCCTATACTATGCATTTCAAGGATTCAACTAGACCGAAAGAAAGTAAAATTATAAAATTTATATTTATTATTATTATCATTATTTTTTTATTGTTATTATTATCATCATCATCATAACCATCGTTATCCTCATCAGCAGCAGCAATACAATCGACATCATTATCATTAACCGTCACAATCATTACCATCACCCCTATCATAGTCAATGTCATTATTATTATTATCATCATCATCATCATCATCATGATTTTTGTTATTAATATATGGTGAACAGGAACTATTGGTGCCTATTACAATCTTGATATTTGGTAGTCGTTTATACCTTATTTTTGTAGGATTTAAGACACCTTACACCTAAGAAGCTTCAAAACTATTTTCTCATCATCGCGGCGGTGGAAGAGAACCTGGTCGAGTACAAGAAAATAAGAAAAGAAATTGACGAGGTGATGTATGAAAAGAGGCAGAGTTATTTCTATGGCTCTGTGCAGAAGGACTTTGAATAGCGCCACCAATAGTATAAATAAGTTACACAGTCTGTTTTGAATTCTTGGGAAATCAACCACTTTCAGTCAAGCTTTCATTTAGAAGGATCATAAATCATTAGCTTCATACGACACATACAAAAAACATTTTTCACTGATTTACATAATCTTTATACATTGAGAATACATTGATTATCAGCAGCCGACTTTTGGCTAAGCAAATAATGTATGAACGGTTAAGTAAATGAAAATATCATAAATCATAAATAAATTAAAGAAAATCAGGTACTTCCCTTTAATTTTTGTAATGATCCAAATTAAGGTAAACACCAAGTACAAAGTGAAAAATCCTGAATAAAATATATCAGGTAATTTATTCGCGCGAATCGAAAACGTTGGTTGATGCGCATTCAGATTTCTATCGCAGTTTTACAGTAGTTCGAACTGTTTCTACTTTTTTGCGAAGCGAAAAAATGCACAACCAATCAGAACTCAGGAAGCGAACCGACGCTTTTATATCAGGGTGGTGTGGGTTTATAGAACTTTTTCTGATTTGTTTTTGTGTTATTTCTCTCTTTGTAATGATTTAATGAAAGTTAACAAACATTACTTAACTCACGAATAAAATAAACAATAAATCATGCATAAGAAACTGAAATAATAGACAGCATTACTTATGTTGTGGTCGTTGATTAGTGATGAATATTGGGGTTTTTTTCCAAATTTAAATTTTGTTTACCTGAACAAAAAATACACGTTCTTGTTTATTTATTGATATAATATACATTTTTGCTTATTGACTCAAAGCTGAGCTGTTGATGAAGAAAATTCATTTATTTACTTTTAAAGACATGGCGTTTTTGTTGATTAGTTGTCTTTTTTTTTTTTAAACTTGTTTATAATATGGATTTTTAAAAAAATAAAATAGAATTGTATTGAATATCCCATGGTTCTTTTTGTTTAAATACAGATATTCTCGTTGGTTTGGAATTTAAACTTGGAAGAAAGAGATGACAATGATTCTGGGACCGAAGAAGACCAGCCACCAACTTATCCATTTTCTGCCGTCAACCTTGATCACATCGGTGTAAGTATAGCGTATATTCCTATACCGTACTGACGATTATGGGCGAGACGAATAGTCAAGCGATAAGGCAGGGAGCCGCTACTGCAACTAGGATTCGTTTAATAGAGCCAGAGAGTTGTTAGAACCAAGTCTTTTTGGATAGACTTAAGACCAGGGACACATTATGGATTGTTTAAACTTTGAAAATCACATCTTTCGAAGTGTAACGGGATACCCCAATCGGGTTCATTCCCGTCGTTGTGGAATGATGCGAAGAACATGAAATGTATTCTATAGTCACGGATCACCCCTGTACACAATTCAGCATAATGCTGCAAAAGATATGGGTTATTCTACGTTCAGCATACCCTTTTTGGGGAGTTGTGTGTGGCGGTAAGATTGGGGGTAATGCAGGGGAACTGCTAACTACAGCCTTACCAGCGTTCGGTTGGTAGAACTATGATTTCTCTGATCAGGACTTAACGGGAGGTCCAGTGTAGGCCCTATACATCTGGCTCGTGTGCACATTAAAGAACCCATTGCATCGTTCGGAAGAGTAGGGGTTACCCAGATGCTTTGGCTCATTTCAGCCAATGTCGTTTTGGAATGATGTGAACTAAGTGCCTCTCTACGACTGCTACAGTATCGTGTCACGCCTATGATACGCAATTCAGCATAATGACGTTGCGAGTTATTGGTTACCGTATTCTCCTACCTTTGCCTTTCATACAAGTCATTTACCCAGCTGTTTTTATTTTTTATTTTATTTTATTTTATTATTTTTTTTTTGTGTAGCGAAAAGGTGACATCTTATCCAACCTAATAGAACTGGAGAAAAGGCAAGTTATCTCATCGAAACATGGTAGTTTCAGTGACATGGTAAAAGAGGCAGCATTTGCAATGGACATTCACAAGACGTATGCTACGGGAATAAGGAGGTTGTCAGTTGGTAAAACCCGCTATAAAGACAATGAGAAGAAAGTATCTACTACCAAGTTACAAAATACTTAGTTAAAGAGACGTTAGTATACATTTGATGATATAACTGATGTCTATTTATTCACTATTACACTTTCCTGCACTTAATCTCTATATGCAGTGGCGTATCTAT